ACCTATGACCATTTTTAACACCACTGCAGCATCCCCATGGTCACGTGATCAAAATTCAGATGCTTGGCAACTAACTCATATTTATGACGGTTGCAATGTCCCGGGGTCATGTGATCCCTTTCTGTGACCTTACAGCAAAGTCAATGGGAAGCCAGATTCACTTAACAATTGTGGCAAGAAACATTGTAAAATGGATCAAAATTCACTTAACTATTTCGCTTAGCAACACAAAATTTGGGTTCAATTGAAGTCGTAAGTCGAGGACTACCTGTATTAATTTTCCAACAGGTTCAATTAAATCCTTTCTAAGTAATATGGAGAGAACAAGGTACAGCATACCTCTTTAAGATTTGGATTTTTTCCCAAGGAACCACTTATTTATAAAAATTGGAGAAACCAACACTATTTTGCAAAAGATACTAGACTGAATAATTTTTATGCCCAATGTTTTGTTTTTATATACTTTTTACAATACATACTGAATGAAATAATTTGCATTAATACAATGCTTTTTTTCTAAATCCTTCAATAGAAAAATAGTTTGAAACAGGTGTTTAAACGGCAGTTTAGCAGTAACAGTTTAGTGATTTAAGTTAATTAACTTAAATCACTAAACTGCTTTATATGTTACTGCTTTTGCACAGCAAGCTGCTTGCTTCTTTTGAACTGAAAGGAGATTTCTTAACTTTTTTTTTTGTATCATCCAGTCCTTTGCAATTTTGACTCAAGTTTTTCTTCAGACAAATTAGTACAAATTATAACTCAGGACCACTGTAATTGCATTTAACAATCTAAACACCACCTCATATTCCCCCCAGTACACGAATCACTTTTCTAAACTACTATATTCAAAACACAGTTTAGATTGAAATATGGTTAAAACTAATAATCTTCAACTAGAAACAGTGCATCAAGAGCCAAATAACTTCTTTAAATATTAAAAATATGCCCTGGAAATAACAGAGGACATTACAGAGACATTCTAAATTCTAAAGAGAATAGAACTCCACAGAGAAACTGGGGTCGCTCTATGACTCATCTCACAATAGAGTGAAACACAACACCAAAACCAGTCTCAAGAGATGGTGATTCTCCACAAACACTTTCTCAAAACAATGTTCTTTGGTTAAGCTAGGAAAGCGGCTGCTGGTACATGTCCATTCATTAGCTGACTTTTAAGCACTGAAACACAACTACACTCGCCAGCAAAACTTGAAAAATATGGATATTTCTCTAGTAACCTTGCAAACATTTCTATGCATGTATGTAAGTATGTGTATGTAAGACATATCTAGAGGATTCTTCACAAACTGACCAGAGTGGGAAAGAAAGAGGCTCAATTCATTCTAGCATTTATGGAGTCATGTTACATCAATGCAGCTCTGTGCAGTTAAATACACACACACAGACACAGACACACACACACACACACACACACACACACGGCTTCATTCTTTCATGTGAATATAAGGCAATTGGAGTGAAATCCATTGTTTATTCTCCCTTTCTCTCTGCTGAACATCCTGCTAAAGAGCATACTCAGCAGTAGGCTGTAAACTAGAAATTTAAACTGAACAAGTAATATTGAAGAACCACAAATCAGAAACGGCAGCAAAAATTATTCTCTTATTGCTCTAAATGAAGTATAGAAAAAAGAAACATTAAGTCTGTTTTAAAAAAATGGTCTGTGGCTGAGATAAGTTCTAGTAGTATTTTTCAATCTATTCAGTCCCTAGCTTTAAATTTCAATTTAGTACACCTAGAAATGTGAACAGATTTGAAATGATGAGCTCTGTAAATGCTAAGGTAATACTTACATCATCTCTATATTTTGACTTGTGAATTACCACTGCTTTGGAAGGAACAGCGGTTTCGGGCTTCCGGATGTTGAATTCGGGCTTTGGACGATTCTGTTCCTGAAGATTTTTCCATTCATCCAATGTCATCTCTTGAACTACTTCTTCCACTGGCTCTCCTTCAGCAATTCTAAGGGTTTATAGTTGTAAAGTAAAAACTATTAGCTTGTGAAATGCCAGTGAGAGAAAGATAAAATACAACTTAAATGAAAGCGGCTACTTGAATTTCTATAGAACAGGGGTCTTCAAACTTGGCCCTTTTATGACTTGTGGATTTCAACTCCCAGAATTCCTCAGCCAGGCATGCTGGCTGAGGAATTCTGGGAGTTGAAGTCCACAAGTCATAAAAGGGCCAAGTTTGAAGACCCCTGCTATAGAACATTAAATTGTTCTTTTCTTTCCACATGATGGGTTACTAAGTGTGTAGAAATACAATAGCTTGGAGAACCTCTATTCAATCAGTCAGGTCTGCTCTCTTCAAACATACTCTAGTCCCTATCCACTCAAGACCAGATATTTGGTATCTTGTAGTTCACCATAGGATCAGCCTGCATCAGGCTATTTTGGTAGGGTTGGGAGACAAAACTTTTTCTCAGTAAGATGCTTTTCTTCTGTGCCCCATTTGCATATTTTTGGACCTTTTCTAAATATGTTTTTTTCTCAACAAACTCTTTTGATAACAAAGCTATGAGGACTTCATTCCTACTGTATTAAAAGGAAAATAAGCACTTTGAACACAGCAAACTAGATTCTGGTTTTAAACTTTTGAAGGCATATGGGAACTCAACGTAATTGCCATGTCATGGAATGCCATGGAATGAGGGCTTGCTTATTCAAACATTGGTCGGTTTTGTAGACATAGCTAAACATAGAAAGTAAAGGAATAGGTTATCCCCCTTCCTCTTATCACTTAAACCAGGGGTGTCCAACCATGGCAACTTTAAGAGTTGTGGACTTCACCTCTCAGAATTCCCCAGCCAGCATGACTTAAACTGTTTTCCTACCCAGCTGTATACTTTTCCTAACAAAGCAATTGTTGAAGCCAGAGGGAGACCATGATGATGATGAAGATGCCAAAGAGACTACTTTGGAGTGTACCAGATTCATTCATTCATTAAAAAGAGAAATGAAAGCAATGTAGAGCACGGGTGTCAAACTCGCCACGTCACGTGATGTGTCGCGACGTATCGCGACTCTTTTTGCATTGCCGGCAATGGGGTGGGTGCGGCTTCAGTATGATGAAACCGGCCCGCGGGCTGGCAGTTTGACACCCCTGATGTAGAGGGATGAGCTAACAAAGGTTCATAGAACATCATGTTGCCTATAGCTTAAGTAGCATAACACGTATAAATGTTTGCAACACATAGAATGTGCTTTCTTGCTAAACCTATTATCTGTTCAATGATAGTAAATTTAAGGCTTATTTGGTTAGGAAATGTCTACAGCTGGCCAGGAAAACCTGTTTAGATCAGACATTTGCTCTACATTTTATTGGGTGTATATCAAAAATTACACTACAGTTTTGCTATCTGTTATCTGCTTCCTATGTCTTAACAATCCTGGTGCATAATCTCCCTCATTTAGTAGGCTGAAATGTTTAGGACTTAAAATATGTCTTCTGTTACAATCTCTGGCAGCTTTCCTCAACCTAGATCCATCTAGGATCTTGAGGAGCATAGATTCAAATTTTCACTTGGTTGCAAAACTCACTTGGTTACTCTGAGCTAATCACTCTTTTTCAGACCAATATACTTTACAGGGATGCTGTCAGAGAGATTTGGAAGTCCAATACATAATGTACTTTAAACACTCAAAAATTATAAATGCAAACAATTGAATAAGCATCTTACTTAATTTTACTATAGCAAATTCAAGGTGTAGGATCAAGACCAGTCCCCATTAATGAATGGGATAGCTCACACTAGAGATAGATCCCTTTCCTGAAATTAATTCAAAATAGATGTTAGCCTATTTTATTAGCCTGCCTGCCTCAAACCTCATGAATAAACAAGGCCAGACATTGTCAAACAAAAAAAAGAATCAATTTTTATTCCAGACTCTGAGATCAATATATCCTGACAAATATATAAGTATTCTAGAAAAGTATATTCAAGAACCATCCAACTCCATGGTGACTCTGGTGATATGCAATCTAAATTTAAAACAATATGAGAAGTACAGACATTTTACAGCTATGGCAACAATTTTGTTGCCAGTTCAGTTCTAAATTAATTTATAAGGAGAGCAGATTTTCTTCTGGAGTTCTTGCTATTCCTTCTCTGAAATATTCTTTTAAAACCATATTGTTACCACACAGAGTTCAGTGGTGGTAAAAAGGCAATAGAAATACAGATTAAAACAAAAATAAAAAGACTTCAGCGAAGGAAGGAATGAGATAAAAAGATCAAGGAAATATTTAAAGTCTCATCTCTAATCTCTAGGTTAATCTAGATACCAGGTTTTGCAGTTTATCCAAGAAAATTATAGCCTGCCAGTTGTTTGACAATGTGGCATTACCAGCTGGCAAAGCCTGATGTAAGCCATTTTACTAACCACCTGGGTAAACCACAACGTATTTTGCAATCATTCCAACAATTCCTAGAGATCAGCTGAAATCATAAAGCATTGTTATAATGCTCCAGGATCAATTCCATTTTCTAGTGGCCATGCTGAAATCAGGTCCACTTGGCACATAGTTGGAACAAACTTCTAAGCATAAGGCCAGATCTTCTGATGGAGATTTAAGAGGGCGGTCCTTGGTGCTCTCTGAGCTTGCTTGTTNATCATTCCAACAATTCCTAGAGATCAGCTGAAATCATAAAGCATTGTTATAATGCTCCAGGATCAATTCCATTTTCTAGTGGCCATGCTGAAATCAGGTCCACTTGGCACATAGTTGGAACAAACTTCTAAGCATAAGGCCAGATCTTCTGATGGAGATTTAAGAGGGCGGTCCTTGGTGCTCTCTGAGCTTGCTTGTTTTCTTGCAAACGTTTCATTACCCTAATTAGGTAACATCATCAGTGCTAGAGTTTTAAGGAGCAACAAAAGCCAGATTCTCAAACCAGGCCATACTTCTTTGGAGGCTCTCCATCAGGGGCTCCTGGGCTCTCTTCTGTTTCTGCAGTCTCTTCCATAGGAGTCTGTTCCAGCTCACTGTAGAAATAGTAAAGCAGAGGTGAAATACAAAAGCTACACTAGACAGGATCCCTCACATGGCCTAAACAAAAACATAGTTCCTCACTACAACCTCTCACATCACCAGACTGGGAAAGCTGTTTCAGAGTTTGGGGTGGATTCACAGAATGTAAAAGTCTGCAAGTAGCATGTTGTGTTATGCACTGTATGAATCTCAGTAGTAGTATGCCATTAACTTAACAGAGACTACACAAATCTCATCACATAAAAAACCAAAAAAATGCAAGCGCACTCTTCTTCCTTAACCCATTCCTGTGGCACAAAGCCAACAAGGAGATACAAGCATTTAGCTTCTGACACCGATTCCCCTTTTTTCCAAGACATTTACCATTGACCAATATAGCTAGAAGACATGTTTCTCTTTAAACGTCAAACATTTCACTTTCCCACGGACATAGCATATATGCAAATCTTTAATTTTCCTTCATGAATTACAATCTTTAAAGCTATCTGAGCTGGAATGTAAGAAAGCCATCTGTTTTCAGAGAGTGAGATAAAGAGTTTTTCCAACTCCTGCTTGAAAGAAGATTTAATGTGAACCCACACACACACAAATGTAACTACAAGGCTATGTCCTTTTATTACAGGAACTTCAGGTTTTTCAGTGAAACAAGACCCAACATGTCTTCCTGTTCAAATCCTGCTTCCAAATGATTAAAGCTGAAGAAAGCCTCCCAAGGTTAGTTTCTTTCTCAGTTCTTATAATCTAAGACAAAAAGAGTACAGATGTGTCCAAGCTCTGCCAAAGCGCCTTGAAAAAGAGGCCTTAGGGAAAAATAAATTCTGCACTGTTTACTGCAGCAAGATTAATCTAGACCAGGGGTAGGCAATCTTGGCTCTTTTATGACTTGTGGACTTCAATACCCAGAATTCCTGAACCAGCCATGCTGACTCAGGAATTCTGGGAGTTGAAGTCCACAAGTCATAAAAGAGCCAAGGTTGCCTACCCCTGGTCTAGACGAATGTTTCAGCATAGAAAAGGTGGCAAGACACTGTGGGGGCAGGACAAGACTAAAGGCAGAGCTGCCTAAAACTCAAGTTGGACATAAGGTGAGATAATTAAGGAAATTCACAAATAACAATTTGCACCCTTTCCTTCCCCAGTGGCCCTCAGGGGTTACATTACAAATCACCCTATACATCTCCTATTATTCAGATGCACACTGGAAAAAAATTTTTTCCAAAACAATAGGAAAGAGACAAGATACTTCTCTTCAGTCAGCATCCAATAGTTAAAATAAATAATTTTAATGTTATGGAGACCTGGCAATGATTCCCTGGAAATTACTAACACATTTCTCATACCTCATATCATCCTTAGCAGTTCCCCAGTTACGTGGTCCACTTCCACCCCTTTTGTCTTCTGCACGGACTCCTCTGTAGATAGAAATTTTACACTTCTTAGAAATTAAATCATGTACATTCACAGAACTATACGGGTTTTACCAATTCACTTCCACTCCAGATTTCTGCAGCCAACAGGGTTATTTTTGAGAATTCTACAGCTGAAGTCCGTACCTGGAGAGAATCCCCCAAAAAGGAAAGCTACAACGGATTAAATCCTACAAAAGTATCAGCATCCCCATCACATTTACTTAGGCTCCTTATTATGAAGCGATGATTTGTTTTGTAAATATATAAACCACTTTTTGGACCAGCCGATTCCAGGACAACAGTCCACAGTTATTAAAAAGTTTTAAGCATTAATGAAACAAATATATGTAAAAAACATAGACGTTAATCAATTACAAGTCATAGAACAGCAAAGCCAATTTTCATTCCAAACTCCTGTCTGAATATGTTTTGTCTGTTGACAAAAGGATAATACAAAGGGAGCCGACATTTCATAGCAACGAGTTCAAAGATTGATTAAGAAATGACAAATGCACATACAAAGCAGCACTTACGTTTTGTCACTCCCGCTCTGCCGGTCAAATTCCCGCTTCCCTCTTTGATCAAAGCCATTGAAGGTCCTGTTCATACCACCACCTCTGCCTCTACCCTGCAGTCCACCTCTTCCTCCCCCACGGCCTCTCAGTGGCCTTTCCCGATCAAAACGCTCTATCGGTCTGAAAACAAAATGAAAACAAAACAAACTGAATGATTCTTCAATTGTTTACCAAATCAAAGATAATATTATCACACCTTGGTCCTTAAATCTGTTGTCATTATCTAGAATAGGAGTGGGGAACTATGGCCCTTTTATGACTTGTGGACTTGCTGGCTCAGGAATTCTGGGAGTTGAAGTCCACAAGTCATAAAAGGGTCATAGTTCCCCACCTCTGATCTAGAATAATGAAAGTCATTTTCAATAAGCTTTGTCAATATTCCAAATGCAGCGCTGAACACATTTATAATTTCCATTCATTCATTCTGTACTTGAGAGACTCAGCAGGTTAAAATCATAACACTACAACATCCATGGAACAATTATAGAAGAGCAAGCAATAAACAGCCCTTCTCCCACATTAAACCACAGATAATAAATAAAAATAATAGAAAATGGATGCCAGTTTTAAATAAAAATGAAACTGTTAATTATGCCAATTCCAAAGAAGCTCCCAGCTCAGAATAGCAGACTTCTACCTTTAAAGCTTTAAATCCTAGTACAGAATCTCATACACAGATTTGTACCAATCTCAAATGTAAATTTTTCCATTCATAGACTTTGTGTTTCAACTTTACAGGAAACGTGATTCATGGTATTCAATTTATTACGTCTTATAATTTTAGTCAATGATTTATATTATGTTAATATGACTTCTAATGTGTTAATTTTAGCTTAAAGCTTAATAGTGATGTTTAAAATTTTAAGTGATAATAAATTTTATTTCATAAGCAATTAATGATATATTGGAAAACTATCATCTCCTTGACATATTAAGGTCCCTTGTTTAGTTACTTGGATCTTACTGTTTGTATTTATCTTAATGTGCTTTTTACATTGCTTTTTAACAGATCCTGGAGTTATGACCAGTCATTCAGCAACCATTCAAAGTCATGACAGCACTGAACAAGTGTAGTTATGATTGGTCCTTGAAATTCCAGCTGTTCTAATAACCTTGCTGTCATGATTGTGATATTTGCACTTGGCAACCAGCTTGTACTTATGACAGTTGCAACATCTCATGGTCATGTGATCACCATTTGTGACCATCCCTGATAGCTTCCCACAAGCAAAGTCAATAAAGAAACCGACAGGAAAAGTCACAACTTATTCCTGTAAGTTGCCCCCACTGCTTTTTCTCCCTAGAAAGCCCACTAGGGATCTCGTATTCCATAGCACCTGCCCATTCACACTCCATAGCATGCACCTGTGGCCCTCACTGACCCACCCATATTCCATAGCACCCATTCCTAGCCATTGTCGCTAATACCTGCCTATAGCCCTCACCCATACACTGCAGAACTCACACACTCCTTGTCTGGGTCTCCAACCTCTTCCTGTTTAACAACCTGTGAAGTCCTGGAGTTACAACAGCAACTGAGACTACCACGATTGTTGTCCCTAAGCGATGCAGTCACATGACACTGCACAACAAAAGTTCTGGTCCCAATTGCTGTCATAACCCAGAGACTATCTGTATTAACTGTTAACATTGTTAAAAAGTTTAATTTTTCTTAGTAACTGATTTTACATTTCCAAATTTACAATGTAGAATAAAGCCTTCAACAGCACATACCTTTCTAGTGTAAACTCTGCTTGTCTTTCCATTTCATGAGGACAGTATTCTTTGAAAGGTTTCCATTCAGCTTTATCTTGTTTTATCTCCGTACCACGGTTTTCATTCCAACCCTGTTGTTCTCCTCTTTTTGGAGCTCGCTTTTGACCTGTGGAAAAGCAACATATTTAGACTAGTGGCATTAGTTACATTTAAAACAAATTTAATTGCCCCATGTTTACTATAATGGCTCAATTCTATTGCTTTTGATGCTAGTTTCTTTCTGTTCCAGTCAATATCTTTGATCATAAGGCAACAGGGAGCAGCAAATATACCAAAGTGATAGAAACGTTCCTTGGAAATCTCAATATTTAACAACAAAGCAACAACAGGTATCTATCCACTGCTGAGTTACTAATAACCTTAACTTCACCATACAGATAGTCCTCGCTTAACAATGATAATTGGGACTGGAATTTATATCGCTAAACAATGTAGTCATAAAGCACGTCTGCCTCCCTTAGCAATGGCAATCCCTGCAGCTGTCATTAAGTGAGGTTCATGAGTTGTTAATCACGGATCTTCTCACAACTTCCTATGGACTTCCAACAACCAAAGACATTGGGGAAACTGGCAAAAAGTTGCATGTCCCAAGCAGCTTGCAAGCAGGCCAGTAGGCTGATAAATGGCTGCTGCCAAGTAGAGAGGGAGCCGGAAGTGGGGGGGATGTGCAGCTCAGGGACAGTACATGGGTGACAGCATGGCTTGGGAAAGGTGCAGGGAGGATGCAAGAGGGTATGCAAGTGGCAAAAGAGGCGTAGCACAAGCACAGCAAATTTCAGGAAGGGTACGTAGGTAGCTGGGGAGACAAGGTGCAAGTGCAAGGCTTCGGGAGGGTGCACAAAGTGCATGAGAGGCCAGTTTGAGAAGGGTGCACAGGGGTGTGCAAGCAGGTGGGATGACATGGGCGGAGCACAGTGAGGCTTGTGAAGAGAGCACAAGGGTGGTAAGGATGCATGGATGACTGTCAAGATGTGGTATGAGTGCAGAGTTGCTGGGAGAGAGACTTAACTGAGTGACTTGTGAATTCCAGCTTCCCCATTCACTTTGTCTCTGGGAAGCTGGCAGGGAAGATCACGTGACTGTGGTATACTGCATCAATCGTAAGTATGAACCATTTGCCAAAAGCCCAGATCATGATCACATGACCATGGGGATGCTGGGACTGCCAGATGCAACTACCACTCATTCAGCACTGTCATAACTTCAAACGATCATTGAATGAGAGTAATCTCTGAATGTGCTGGCATACTGTACTCACAAATTAGACTGATCAATGAAACAAAACTGTCAAATCAACTTTAGCCCAATACTCAGAGCATGACTGGATGCAACTATTACAACAATACCTCCTGTTTCAAAAAAAAAATTTAATGGGAGGAGTAACTCTGCATTGTAAATGTTAGTGAATCTGGTTGCACAGCTGATAATAATCATATTATCACTATATACTTTTAACTTATACCAAGATTCCAAAATTCTGATGCACACTGTTAAGATTCAAAGGTAAGCATTTTTCCAAGGTGCAAGCAAACATTGTTATGCCCAAACAAAATCACAGTCTCTTTAAAAGACTGATGTTACAGGAAGATATTTGCAAAAGGAATTAAAGGGCAGAAGTAAACAAACCAAGTGTTAAAAACAAAGAGCACCACTGCACCCTGACAGTTATCAAAAACCCTTTATCAATTCTGCTTGTGTCAACCAATTCAGTATTGAATTGTACTGAAAATTTATTTGCACAGAAGTCAGAAAATATTCCAAGGTGTTATTCAAATTAAATTACTATTAGAGGTTCTTTTAATTCAGGTTTCCAGAATTCAATTTTGCCACATAACCACTGAGGCTTCAGGTTTTGCAAAATCATTATTTTGAAGGAAAGGATAAAGACAGAATCACATGGTAAATAACCTGACTAAAAGTTTTTCAATCATTTATTTCATGAAGAAAGTTTACAAAACCCAATTTATGAGAAATGTTGGTGGAGATTCCAGATAGCTATTATTAATCAGAGTAGAATAGTTAAGCAAATGTTCAAAGAGGATACTTCAATATAAGGCATGTGTACATTAGACTCCCACACCCTGCAAGCCACTTCCTTAGAACCAATGAAGATCTCAGAAGTGGATGCAATACTGCAGTATTATTTGAAGTAATTTTAATTTACATTTAAATTGAGCTAAAACTGAGTATCGATATGATTGTTCTCATATAACTAGTTCCTAATCGCCTCCTGCAAAATTCCAAATTGCAATTATTAGCTTAGAGCTCAAGCTGTACATTTCTGCCTTAGCAGATGGATGTTGACTACAATTTTAAAACTTTAATCTAATAAATTATTCTGTAATTTTAAACTATCTGTATGGATAGTTTACTTCAAGTGGGCGTTTCTGCTAAACATGTAGTAAAAATGAGGTCAGAACGATATAATTCTGTGTCAGAAGTATATCCTCTGAATATCTAAGCATTATGTTGTTGTAGAAACAATAAAGAAGACAGATAATGCATTTCTGCCATATGGGCTTTTATGTAATTTAGAAGGCTGAAGCCTCACCGCAAATTTCACACATATGAAGAACACTGCAAGACAACAAGAAATTAATATTGCTTTAAAGTAAAGAGGTTAGCCTTCTGAACCCTCCAGGCAACCTCAGTGCACTAAAAAAAGTTTGTTGAGGCACTACATATGCCTAAAAGAAATAACTAAGCAATCCAACTTTCCTTATCATATAAATAGCAGAAAAAACCTTCAGAAGGATTAGACCACACATTTAAATGCCCTAAAACGTGTGTGTGTGTGTGTATGAAAAAGCCTACTTTACATTACTCAAAACAGTTTCACTTAAACAATGCTAAACAAAGCATATGAAGAGACATTCTAAAGAATACTGTATTTCAACACCTGCAAAAATCTCATGTAAATAAAATTAAGTTTCTTCTATAAAAATTATTTCAGTGTAAGAAAATAGTTTGTATCTGATAATCAGACTGAAGTATTCCTGAATAAAAACTTTGTTTGCATTTATTTAAAAATCCTAATTTTATAATCAGAACTATCTTAGTTGCCCTGCGCAATGATCTATATCGCAGGAAAGGAACATGGAAAAGATCCTATTAATTGTCCCACATTTCTCAGTGGTTTTCTTGATTGCTGATCATTTTAGCACATCATACAAATATTTCATCACCTTCAGTAACCTCCATATAAAACTCTTCATAATTCATAATTCTAAAACTGTTTTCCAGAGTTGGGAACCTCCAAAGGCATGTACTTCCAATTCCAAGAATTCCTAGCCAGTGTAGGTTTGCCAGAAAATTCTAGGAGTTGAAATCTGGAAATTAAGCTAAATAATATTTATCATATATTTATCAGGTCATCAGAAAGCCTGTTCCACAGATTGAAGTACATCTGCTCGACCATTTCTTAATATTACTTTTAATAATAACCCATTAATGAGCTCTAATTATGACTGCAGTATTTAATGAGCTCTAATTATGACTGCAGTATATCAATGAATATACAGAATTACATTATGAAATAACCTTTAAATAGATCTTCCAAATGCTACTGTTCTACCTTTTTATTCTCTGGATTTTTAATCTTCATATAAATTTGTTATATTTGTATTAAAGTCTACTTCTAATCTTTTTGCATTCTATGGAGTTAATTTTCATCTTATTTACAATTTAGGTTCAATGAACACAGCTGTATGATCTAATGCTATGTAACAGAAGATTCTGTTATATTGAGCAGGCCATTTGCTACGGAGTGAACAATATATTTTAAAACTAAATGATAGAACGGTATCAGAATTATGTTATCAATTCTAATTAAAATATGCTGATATTAAATATAAGAAGCAAACTTACAATTATTAGTTTTAGCATTAGCTTCTTTTTTTCTTCTTTTTTCAAAGAATTCTATTTATATCCTGATGTTCATTATAGTTGTTATTTTAATATACTGTTTTGATGACTATGAGTCACACTGAATCTATCACATGAGGTGGGATATAAGTTTTGTCATAAACAAATATTTACATGAAGGATGAAATAACAAAATATCAACATTTGCATATAAATTGAACACTTCTAATCCATGAAGGATCATTTATATTTATTAAAACATCCTTGCATCTAGTTTGAAATATAAGCCCTATAAATTTCATATTACAACTAATTATATAAAACCCTAGAAAACCTAGAAACCAGCAGACTGTGAGTTAAAATCTCGCCTTAGTCATGAAAGCCAGCTGGGTGACTTTGGACCAGTTACTGTCTCTCATCCCAACTCATCTCAAAGGGTTGTTGCTGTGGAGAAAATAGGAGGAGGAAGTATTAGGTATGTTCACTGCTTTGAGTTATTTATAATAATAATAAAGGTGGAATATAAATAAATAAAATTAATTTAAACCGAACTTCATCAAAATGTCCATTTAGAAAATATTATCTTTTCTTTTCATGTGTGTGTGTGTGTGTGTGTGTGTGTGTATGTATGTATATGTGTGTGTGTGTGTGTGTGTGTGTATATATATATATATATATATATATATATATAAGCTAAGGAAAAATAAAAGCAAATCAACCAATGTTCTTCATTATCTACAAGAAACTCAATCTTCCTCATCTTTGATAGATGGTTTCAATTTGGAAACCAAGGGCAGTAAAGCATCTTACACTAGAAAATAAAGGAATTATATGTGCATTGTGACATAGTGTATATTTTTATAAACCCAAAATGACTTTGGAGACAAAGTGGCTTTGTCTGTGGGAAAATTAAGATAATTTGTGACAGGAAAGTAGCTACTTTATACCAGTTGGGATTTGAGAATTCTTAAAGAATAGAAACAAATGTAAGTACTTGATGAGTTATTTAGACTGACCTGCCTGCAAAAGTTTGTGAAAAATTCATGGATTGCCAAATAATACAGGCTTGAGAATACAATTGCACAAATTTACCAAATCAAAAAAAATAGCTTTGCATACCTCTTCACAGGATCGTTAGAAAATATGTTGTAGCAACATAATAAGATTCCAGTACAGGAAGTTATCAACTTGTACATTTAATGAATGCTGAATTAAACCTGAATTAAACCCATATAAAAGACTTTATAAGAAGTCCTTTACATGAGCTAATTAGCTTTCAAAGATAAAGAATGAAATAGATTGTCTGATAGGAGTTACTACTGCTTATCAGCCATTAGCTCTTTTGTAGGATTAGCTGAGCAACCTTCAACCTGTTTCTGCCTTAAAAACATCAACTTCACCTCTTTCAACTACCCCCCCCACACACACACACATACATACAGGGATGTCCAACCTTGGCAACTTTAAGACTTGTGGACTTCAACTCCCAGAATTCCCCAGCCAAACCAGTTGAAGTCCACAAGTCTTAAAAGTTGCCAAGGTTGGACACCCCTGCTCTAAACTTTAGTCTTGTGCATTTTATAGACTCTGAAAGCCACAAAGGTGATGCTGGAGAGGCTTAATGAAGCCTTCACTTTGTTGTAGAGATCACAAACTTTCTTCCTACAGAGCCGAATATCCATACGCTATTCAAAAGATGGTCAGACAATGACTGGGAAAATATGGAGTTCTACTGACTTGGGGAAGATAACTGTGGTTTAGACCAAAATGTGCTCATATCTTAAAGAACAGTCTGTGTTCTTATTCCTTACTTGTTCATTTTAGCTTTTGCTCAATACCCAGAGATATAAGAATAAAAAGAAACTGCCAGTTCAGGTGTATCTTCTAACTAATATACCTCAACTTAATTTCCACAGTCATGAAACTTACTAGAGCTTTGGAGAAGTTGAAATTTAAAGGATAAAAGGCAATTTGAATTGCTTGAGGGTGCAGATGTCTCATCTGTCTGCAATTCCTTAAAGCAGCTGTCGTTGTGTCTACTATATACAGCCAGTTTAGTATGATAGTTAAGGTGCTGGCCTAGAAACCAGGTGACTGAGGATTCTAGGCCTCCCTTAGCCACGAAAGTTGGTTGGGTGACTTTGGGCCACTCTCTCTCTCTCAGCTTAACCCACCGCACAGGGTTGTTATTGCTGTGGATAAAACAGGAGGCAGGAATATTTGGTATGTCTTATATATGTATATATACAATATAAAAGATGGAATACTAATGTAAGTATTGTGTTTAGTTTTTAAAAAAACTGCCAAGAGGCATTATAGCAACAAACCCTCAGAACCACCTTTTCCCTATCAAATCCAAACAGCCCTACAAATTATTATAATTCTGCGACAGAAAATCAGTGCTGCCATAATAAAACAATTCCTGTAGGAGGACAGGCAGCAAACAGTTCCTTGCTTCTAAAAGCAAAGTGTCTGGGATTCTTCAGTTTATTATTGCATCTTATAATTTCACTAGCTATTGCCATCCACTATGTATCAGGAGAGTCCTAAGAGTGACATAAGAACTAAGAACTGTGGCACTTTGAAACCACTACTGTAGTGCTAAAGGCCTCAGGTAGATGAAGTCAAGCCACCTCATATAGATCTATAAATATAATCTATGGAGACCCCATCTTTCTGCTTGGTAATATCTCTGAGAGTTAAAAAGTATTTATGTGTGTATGCATATATAAAATATCACTCATTTCTGTGGTTCCTACGGCACTCAAAACACTACTAAGACTGTACCCTGTGGTTCCCACTAGTACAGTAATTCAGGTTCAAGCTAGTGGCGTCTGGATATAGTAATAAATACTTATGGATTTTATTGGTCCAGATAGCACTATGCTTCATTATAATTAACAGTGCAAGAAAAAACTTATTTCTGGCATATTTGTCACGGCACACATCCGTCTACTTGTCTCCTTTTAACCTGTCTCATTCATACATTTATTTTTTAATGATAATCCGCTGGAACAAGGAATGACCAGTGAGAGGAGGTTAGGGAAGGCTCTGCAAGACGGGAAAGTTTTAAACAATGATTCAGTTAATGTATGAATGTCATTCACTTGCATGAATGTCATTTCAAAACAAAACAAAACATCAAAGTATCGTAAAATGGTTCCCACTAAATTAAGATGATATCACATATCCGGTTGGGTTTAAGGCTGCGGAGCGCCTCAGCCAGTTCATATGTACACGCGTCTTGAAAAGAGCCAAGCCAGCTCCGTGGAAAGCGCCTTTCCGCTGATGAAGCGATGGGCGGGGAGGGCTTCGCTATCTGTTGGCGCCGACTAGCCCGGTTAATTACATCTGAAGGCGGAGGCCGAGCACAATAGCATGTTAGAGCCGCCCTTTGCTTTCAGCACATGCACCACCTGCGGTAAACGCCACTAGGGAAAATATATATATATCGGCCAGACGCCACAATAGCTCGCGCCTTTACACGGATAACCCGCCCCGGCCCGCCCAGAGAGGAACTACGAGCTAGGGCAAGGCCAGCAGGTGGCTGCTCCGCCCGCGTCCCTTCCACTCCAAGCCCAGAAAGCTCCCCCGGTTCGTTGGCGGTATTTTCAGGCGAGAATCTCCGACAAACTGAAAGGCAGAAAGGGAGAGAAGAGAGCACGTGCGTCCGGGTCTGCAAAGGGACAGGACCGGCGCAAGCTCAAGCCCTCCGCCTCCGCCTTGATCCAAACGGCGACTGCCCGTCTCCAAGACTTCTAATAACTCATACACCGGTTCTAGTTATTCCTCGCTCGCATCGCTTTGAGCAGACTGCTTTAACGAACGCCCCATTTCAGTGTGCCCTGAAGCAAACGTCCGTGTAAGCCTGCGGGTCATCGCTCATTTACCTTAATGAGATTTGCTGGGAAAAGGCGCCTCTAATGCTGCAATGCGAGTCCCCGACTCTACGGGCAAGGGGGAGAGATCAAAGCAGGCTTATTTCAAAGTAAGCCAGCCGGATTCGGTCTGCACCACTTGGCCACTTTCCCACTCCCGGCAGCATCAACTGCTTATCATATTTCCTGGTCCACGCAAGCCCCCTCCCGCTTCATACCGGGTGCTGGGGGGCTCTCCGATTGCAAGAACGGGGACCCTTTCCGCTCCTTCTGGGATTCTCTTTTGACAGCGGCGGCGGCAGCTCCGGGGCCAGGTTTTCTGCCGGCTGAAAAAGCCGCTTCTTCGCGCTTCTTGCTCTGTTGTTTGCGCTGCTCTGCCTCGCGGAGGATGTCGAAAGGGTCGGATTCATCATCGAGCAGCTGGTGGAAGCGGTTGGCGACGGCACAGCCAAAGCTCTCCTGCATAGTTGTGGCGGCGGCCACGGGGCTGGCCAGCGCGCCTTTCATTGTCGCGGTGCCGTCAGCCGCCGCAGCAGCAGCAGCAGCACCCACCCCCTCCCGAATGCGACAGAAAGAAGCAAGCCCTCTTCAGCACGGCCCAAGTAACCACGCCATGACCACTCGCCCGCCCCGTCCGACTGCACTACCAATCGCCGCGCCAGCAATGCCTCCAACCCTGCCTGGTCAACCAATCCAGAGCTCCGCTTTTTATCGTCCTACCCAATAATGAGCCTCACAAACGTGTAGCGTCGTTGACCAATCAGCATCCGGAATTCTGCCTCAATCTAGCAAAATAAACACGGGATCCCCACCTCTCAACAATTTCCCACGCCGCTGGTCGATGACGTAGAGCGTCTGTGGCGTCACGTGCTAGAGCCTTGAGTTATTAGGATATTTTTTTTTTTTGTAGTATACCGTATTATCAAAGTTCCGTCTAGGGGGGAAAGAATTTGAGTGTTGCTTGACTAGTATGCTACACTGAATCTAACACTAAAACATCAATGAATTACTCTAAATGAAGAAGCTGTGACTGGTCCAATGATTGAAGATGATCTTGAATCTGATGGGTCACTGGTACTCTCTGAACCTGATTATTCTCTTTGCAAACCCTTTATTACCCAAACTAGGTAGTATCATTTCAACTCTGAGCTACAAATGTTCTCTTCTATTGATTTTCAATTTCTCAGGTTTTATTTAAAAGTCTTTACATTGCACCCTGACTCCATGCACATATGGACATTATATTAATGTGCAAGTGGGAAGAGCAAAAAAATACAAGTACCAGTATTAAAGTTAGAGTAAGATTCATTTAAAACATAGTTTTATGCAAGCTGTTCCCAAATATATTTTATTAAGTTTATATGCCATCCATCTCGCTGTTAAGCGAATCTTACTAAATTACTATGCTGTTACTGTTTCAGGTTTTTGCTTTAGGACTTCTCTATTGTTACATTGGCAAAATAGAATCCATATCCTTCCTCAAACTAATCGAAAACATTTCAGCAAGAAATATTCAATAACATTTTAGCCACATGATTTTTTTATTTGAAATTATATTGAAAACATACAGTGAGCTTAATTTTCCATATAGATAGATAGATAGATAGATAGATAGATAGATAGATAGATAGATAGATAGATAGATAGATAGATAGATAGATAGATAGATAGATAGATATTATGGCAACAACACTGTACACATGCCCATGTATTTTCCTTGGCAATAATATTGAAGAGGCTTGTATTCCCTTTTCCCAGGTTTGATCAAGTGATAGATACCAATTTATCCTACAACACTAACATTTCCTTTTAGTCATATGTTTAATTATTAACCAGCTCTGACTTCACTTAGCTTTTTGATATCAGACAAGATCAGTTAGATACTTAAGCCAAATATCTTCTCTTTTATTATGTCAACCAGCTTGGATGAGATTTATCCATTTATACAGTTAAACCTCAATTTGAAAACTTGTTGAGAGGAAGGGGTTTCCATTAAATTTAAAGATACTGTTGTGCATGCTTCTTAAATCCATAAAGTATGCATTAGACTTCCTGGCTCTCCCAAATCAAGACTTGGTTTTGTAGTTGTCATCTTGTCCAGCACCTCCCTCAATTGCTATGGCAACAGCCAGGAAGAATCAACTTACTTGTTCTTAGGGAGCAGAAAAGACTTGTCAAATCTACAAAATCATGCCTAAGTCACTTCACTAGATTGTGAATGAGAGTTAAGGAAAGCACCTTCCCACTCCTATTGCACCAATATCATGGCAGCATATATGACTGCACCTATCAACACAATCTTTTCACTTGCTTTACTAATTCTAATCTTCCCACTGACACGCCCATTCCCTTGATCTTCCCAGAAGCATTAAAAATGCTAGTTGATAGAATTTCTCTATTATTTGGAATGTGTCCATTACACCTGAAGTATGTCAAATTATAGTATATTAAACTGAGATTATATAATTATTTATATCTTGTTCTTCTGAGATTAACATGTCACAGCAGTTATCTGCAACCAAAATCATAATATAAAAAATGAGTATTTTAAAGGAAACAGAATACACACACACGCATACATATAGAAACACACACACATACATATATGCGCCTTCCTGAACAAAAGGTACAAGCTGAAAAATTTCAACAGAGGCATGGGCAGGTTGGAGGGGCAGAGTGAGGAAATGTGTGTCATGGCATGACAAGACAAAATACATGATCTACCTCAGGGACGTCAAACTCGCAACGTCACGTGATGTGTCGCAACGTATTGTGACTTTTGCCATTGCCGGCAATGGGGTGGGTGCGGTTTCGCTATGATGCGTCCAGCCTGCAGGCCGGCAGTTTGACACCCCTGATATACCTACTTGCATCTGAAATCAAATACAAAAACAATGAGGTTTGCATTGTGATGTCACTGCATGCACATGATTTTTTCATTATTGTGATGACCTGTAGATCTATAAATGTGGGGTCCTTGATGCTCTGAACTGTTTTCCTGCAGACATTTCATTACCAAACTAGATAACATCATCATCAGTGCTAGTAGGGAGTGAGGTTTGCTCTCATTTTATATATGGTGTTTCCCAAAAAAATAAGATCCGGTCTTTTTTTTTTTTTTGCCTCCAAAAGAGGCATCTGGTCTTATTTCCAAGGGGTGTCTTTTGCACTCACTTCACAGTGGCGGCACTGGCAGCCCTATCCAGCCAGCCCACTTCTTCTGCAGCCGAAGGAACAGCTTCATTCTGAAGCAGAGAATGGAGCTCCGGCCTGCATTTTGCAGTCAGATGCCATTCTGGAAGGCCTCTGAAGCCAAGAACCAAGCTACAGATTGAATCCATAGCTCAGTTCTTGGCTGCACAGGCCTTTCCGGAAAGGCCTCTGACTGCTAAATGCAGCCTGGGGGTTACCGCAGAAGAAATAGGCTGGCGAGGAGAGGCAGGTGTCAATTCATGGGAGGCCTGGTAAGTGGGTGTGGGGCTCATGGGGTAGCTCCACCTCCTACCCCCCCACCCCCACCCTAACTTGATTTTTAGGCGTATGCCTCTTCCCAAAACTAGGGCTTATTTTTGGGATAGGGCTTACTTTCAGGGAAACACTGTACTAATGGCTTGCCTGACAGTTTTAATGGGAATGGTGTTGATGGTTCCTTGATTGGGCTTTTGTTTATTGTTATCTTGTTTGTCTGAATTGGTAGTTCCTTGGCTGGGGTATTGTTTGCTTCTTGATTGTTGGTCTGTTAATCTTGGTGTTAATCTCTGCTCATAGGGTTGTTGATTGCTGATGAGATGCTTTGGTCTTTTTGTTCCTTTTTTTGGCTTTTGGATTGTTTTTTGAACAATATGTAGATGTTATTTATCTGTGCTGTTGATGGCTGAATTGTCTGAGTGCCAGGCTTACAGGAATTCTCTAGCATTTTTGGACTTGGTTTAGGATGCTTACTGTTTCCCATTTGAAACTATGATTATGTCTGTTCATAAGTTTTCATGTCGTCTGCTGGTTGGCGTTCATAGTTGCGGCCTGCTAGTCTTCTGCCTTTTTGTGGTGTTGCAGTCCTTACGGTGTATGTTATTAATATTGAAGACTCATTGTTACCCCCAGTTTGGAGTACACATACATAAGGGGCAAGATTACAACCATATGGTTGTGACTACTATTTTTATTTCTCTGCAGACACCTCAGCAGCATGCTTCCAAAATCAATTGAAGAACAAGTGGTAAGTCTCCATCTCCTGCTTTCAAGCAACCGTAAGACATGATTGGCCAGTATGAAAAATAAAATAGTAGAATAAGATGGGTCTAGCAAGACAGTGTTAATCTTTCTATCTTGTTAGAAAAAACAAAGCCTTTTCACCCAATAGTAGAGAGCAGCAGGATTAATGTGAGAAAGGATATCAATAAAATATTCAGGATAATTCATTATGGCTTCAAATTATTATAAAAACTGAGGTTATTCCAAAGCAGATAAGTAATCATCATACTGTTGGCAAGGCAAATTTTAATATGATTCTGCAATCACCCAACCAGCCTTTCAGCTGTTTTGACTGAATTGCAGTTTCCAAACATTCCTCAAAAGTGGCACCAAGTAGAAGACATTCCAATAATCCATTTTTTACATAACCAGGGCATGTGTCAGCACGGTTAGATCTTATTTCGGATACTGACACATTCTGGACAAAAACATTTAAAAATGCCTGGATGAAAAAAAGGGTAAGTGTGGATAGCTGAGCCAAAAGGATGTCAAGCCTCTCACTTCAAAGACTGGATAACCTTAAGGGCTCCTGGGCCGAGTTTAAGATCAGAGCACATCTGTACTGTTTACGCGGAAGACTTCCGCTCCAGCGTTTTTCAGATACTCGGCTTTTCTCGTAAACCGAACAGCTTCTGAAGTTGCAATTCGTGTTAACTGTTCCCGCACTCTGCTCTTTAAATGCATCACATGATAAAGAGATCACATGGTACCCGGGGCAAAGCGCGCCTTGAAAGTTGAGCTTGAGCTGATTTTTTACCAAAGGCTGCATCCAAACGTAATGCTGCAAAAATAGGTTTGCAATATATTTCACCACCACCAAAAGAGATGCTCCCTCCAGCCAAGTCCTCCCGCTCATAACCAGACCGCTCGCGTGAGGGAAGATGGAGGCCGGCTTTGATGAATACCGGCGACCCTCCCTCCCAGACAACTTTCGAATTCTGTTGGCTATTGTCATAAAATGTCAGCCAATGGATGAACCCGCATACCCCGAAGCCACACCCAACGCGTGTTTTTTCTAAGCGGCCCGCCTTCGGACTGAAGGTGGCAGGCGCTGCCTTTCTTAATTATTGGCTGGAAGAGCCTGTCACTCCGATGACGTGCACAGCCGATTCGACGATTGGTTCCGCCCAGGCGCGAAATGTAACGCGGGAAAGTCTAGGGCTCGGGAGCGGTGGTCGGGGCTACTGCTGCTGATGGTGAGGAGCCGCGGTTGCTTCAGAAAGCCGGGCAGACACTGCACGGGGTTGGCCTCTGCACGAAGGAGTCTTCCTATCATGCACACCTGAGGCGGTCCTTTTCGGCCACCAAAGGAAAAGCCAAGGAAACCACCCGCGCGGGTGCAGGAGGTAACGGCAAGCGCGGATCGAGAAGCAAGAATCTCGGACCGACGCGGCATGTCGGAGCTGCCGGGCCCTCCACCTGTCATCTTGTGTTCGGGAAGCTCCCCGAAGCGCGTCTTGGTCTCGGTCATCAAAACCACCCCAGTCAAGCCGTCACTCGGCAGCAGAGAGGATCCCGCCCGCGTGCCCGTGCCGCCGCCGCCGCCGCCACCCATCCCTACCAGCCCGGGCTTCAGCGACTTCATGGTCTACCCATGGCGCTGGGGGGAAAATGCGCACAACGTCACCCTCAGTCCTCCGCCCGCCGCATCTCAGCCGCTCCGCGAGGGAGGAGGCAACGGCGACGGGCTCCGAAGCGCGGTCGAGCGCTCCACCGGAGACGACGAAGAAGCGGGGAGCCCTGACAGCGGCACTGGGAGCAACGGGCACTTGAGGGTGAGCGAGCCCGAGAGGCGGCGGGATGCGGGGAGGACAAGCATTGGGCAGCGACGGTTGAGGGAAAAGGGCTTCGGTTTAAAAGGAACCTTATTTGGAGTCCGAGGGCCCCCGCCCCTCGCGAGCGAGCGAGCGTCTCGCGGGGTTGCAGTTAAGTCATTTCCGCGGGTGATTCACCCTCTCAATGACGACACCTCCGCGCGCCAAAAACATCCTTTTTCTTTAAATGTCGGGCGCGAGCGCCGGCGCGCGCAAGGCGCTCTGGCGAGGCAGGTGACGCGCGCGCGCGTGTGCTGCGAGCGCCCTTGCCCCCCCCCCTCCTCCCCCTTGGTCTTTATTTTGCGATAATTTTCCCTCAGTTTTCACGAGCTCGTTTATTTCTGGGTGGGTGCGCTTTCTCCTATAGCAGTGTTTCTCAACCTTGGCAATTTTAAGGCATGTGGACTTCAACTCCCAGAATTCCACAGCCAGCAATGCTGGCTGTGGAATTCTGGGAGTTGAAGTCCACATGCCTTAACATTGTCAAGGTTGAGAAACACTGTCCTATAGGATAACTAAAAGGTGCGGTAGTTGCCGCCCCCTGAACGTTCCCTCTGAAGAAACCCGGGAGGGGGGGGTGGACAACAAAAAGCGGTGTCATCTCCACCAGAGTTCCTTTATTTTATTACATTTTATTTTATCTTAAAAGCATCTTACGTAAAACAGTATTGTGTCAAGGGGGCTGCAGATTCTTTAGCATCACAAGGACTAAAGTAGGTTTATATGTACAGTGCCTTCGACGAATAAGAGCCCTCTGAATTAGGAGCGCAGCCCATATAATGTTCTCGCTAGCTCAGCGGTTCTCAACCTATGGGTCGCGACCCCATTTGGGGTCGATCGACCATTTCACGGGGGTTGCCAAGCAAGGCTGTCCGCCATTTTTTTCCCCTTTTCCGGCGGGTGTCTTACCTCCCTTGGGCTGGGCCAGCTGGTGGTCGGCCTGCTCCATCTCTGTCGCTTGCCAGCTACGCCTCGGCCGGCGCAGGGGGCGGAACCACGCATGCGCGGCACTCCCGGGCAGGGAAAGTCCTTGACTTACGACCGGTTGGGTAGTCCTCGACTTACGACCGGTTTAGTCCTCGACTTACGACCGGTTTAGTCCTCGACTTACGACCGGTTGGGGGTCGTGGCATTAAAAAGGTTGAGAACCACTGCGCTAGCTCTTTATGGCTTAAGACATATCTTTTCTTCTCAATCGCACACACACACCCGTCCACTTTCTGCATAGTACTTTGAGAAACAAAAAATCATTGTTGTAGATTGTTAATAGACTTGTTAATTTACTAGGATGGGATTAGAAGAGGTCGACCAAGAGCAGAGACAGTCCGAGATCTAATAAGTGAGGGAGAGCATTCATCTAGCAGGATACGTTGTAATGTCTGCAACAGAGTTTTCCCAAGAGAGAAGTCTTTGCAGGCACACAAAAGAACACATACTGGTAAGTGGACTGGATAAACAATATATCTCATTAGACTGACTACTTTAGAATGATTTGTCATGCAATGGCAATTTTGCAACAACTTAATTCTGGACATGCTGTAACCCTCAGATTTTGAATAAGATGGGACTTGTCAGTGAACAATCATAGATGAGAAATTATTTGCTTCAGAAGACTAAGATCTGTATTGCCCATATTATGTATTGAAATAATGTGAATTGGGATTAGGGTGTCATGTGGATTGTGTTTTTCCATTGATTGGGAGAAGCAATAATCCCATGAATTTCTTCGTATTCCTTAAAATGTTCAGCTACTTGTAAACCCTATAGTAATATAATGAATAATGCTGTGCTTAATATATATTTAATTTTTCAACTAAATGTATGTGCTTAATTTTCATGAAATTTATTGTTCACTCCTTAAAATTTAATTTGGAATTTTATCTCTTACTAAGAAATCTTTGTATATACAAATGCAACAATTTTTCAAGAGGCTGTGATAGGAAGTTTGTTTTACAGAAAAAGTCTTTAAATGGTCCAGATTAGAAAATGAACTAACAGAATACTTGCAAAAAAAAAAAAAAAAAACTTTAGTTGAGCTGTCTCAATTTTTAGCATCCTTTCAAACTAATGAAAAGAGTTTAAAATAATACAGATAATCCTCAACTTATAACCACAATTGGGATCAGAATTTTGGTCAGTAAAAGATGTGGTCAGTGAGAGAGTCATCACATCAGCAGACTCATTTTTACAACCCTTTTTATCATGTTAAGAGAGTCCCATTAAGTGAACTGCACACTCATTAGGCAAATCTGGCTTCCCCAAATGACTGCTGTGAGAAGTGAGGGAGATTGTAGACCACTATCATAAATATGAGCTGGTTGCCAAGTACCCGAATTGCGATCATGTGACAGGAAAGGCAGTACACCAATTGTAATTTCGAGGACAGGTCATAGGTGGGTTTTTCCAGCAGTCATAACTTTGAACTGCCATTACATGTTTGTAAGTTGAGGTCTATCTGTAACATACCTCAGGCAAATTTTAGCAAAATAAGAACTTAGTATATTTTATGCAAGAAATTCCTGGAAGAAGCTCAAGAGATTATTTTTTAATTTTTTCCCCTTAGGTGAAAGACCTTATTTGTGTGATTACCCAGAGTGTGGGAAAGCTTTTGTTCAGAGTGGGCAACTTAAAACACATCAGCGTCTCCATACAGGAGAGAAGCCTTTTGTCTGTGCAGAAAATGGTGAGTTATGAGAAAATTGCTTTTGTTCAAATTTCAATGAATAACAGTCTTGAAAATAAGCCAACAAAATTTCCCAATTTTCATCTTATTTTACTAGAACTAAGTATCCTATGTTTAGCCATGAATAGCTATATAGCCTCTAAGCAATATAGGTTAAAAAAAATACTGCATACGTTGGCAAGGGGCAGATTCAAGGATAATCTCACTTTTCTGTGTTCCTTCAGAAATCAAATTAACCGAGGACAGAGGCATTCCTTGTGTTTTTGTTTTGGGGGAGGCTAGACTAACTATATTTCTGACTGATATTTTCTTCAATCAAGGATGTATAAGCAGATTCACACATGCAAACCGCCATTGCCCCAAGCATCCATATGCAAAATTAAGACGAGAAGAACCTACAGACAGACTGAACAAAAAGCAAACTGCAGACAACAAAGCTGTTGCTGAATGGCTGACAAAGTACGTATTTATATAAAATACAACATTAAGAATTGAGAGAGATTGGACAGTCACTTGTTAATCAACAGTTCTGTATTCTGTGCAACCATGGCCAGGATGCTAATAAAAGCTTCCTATTATTACCTCAAGGTAATTTTTGTCTTAATTTGGGAACTAGTTGACTATAATATTTCAGTAATGGTTTTCTAATGCTCAGTTTTATCTTTATTAACAGGTATTGGGAAATGAGAGAACAACGCACTCCTATATTGAAAAATAAATCTATTCATAAGCCTGACCAGGAGCAGCAAGATCCCATGGAATATCTTCAGTCTGAGGATGAGGAAGAAGAGGAAAAAAATACTGCTCATTCATCCCTTTGTAGCCGCCTTCAAGAACAGCGTGAACGCTTACATGGGGCACTGGCACTCATTGAGCTTGCCAATTTGGCTGGAGCCCCACTGCGACAGTAATAGAAAACTTGGAGTGTGGATTAACAAAATGTACTGAATTTTGTTATTTAAACCAGTTAGCTTCTGGCATAAGCTAAGCACCTTATCGGCTTCCATAGGCTGCTATTATGTAGAATTTATGAAGAATGTTGTTACCCTAGAAAATGGGGTAAAAGAATTGCACTTTTTATATGGTAAAGCTTTTAAAGTATTTTGTAAATAGGAGATTATATGATGCAGTATGTAACATGATCATCTTACAGAAAGCTAGATTTGCAAGGTTAGGGTGCTTTTAATCACAGTTGCATGGAAGTAAGTCACTACAACCAGTGAAATTTGCTTCCATAAAAACGGTGTTTAAAGTTGGGATGCCAGTCATTCTTTGTTTCAGTTCTCACAGGAAGCACTTTCTAAACCTGTATGGGAATAATGGTACATACATTCAAAGAAAATTAATAGATTTTTTAAAAAATTGGATGTAATCAGTGATGTACCCATGCTGTTTTGAAGATATTTTATCTAATATTACTGATATATGCTAGAATGTCTTAATTTTACAGCAGAATAGTTGAATTTCATTTAGAATCTTCTCTGTGACTGCTGACATGGAGGCTGACTTAGCTTTTATGGATAGATACCTTAAAGGTCTTTTGGTTGAGCAGCACTTAGTGTTCCCAGTATATATATTATGGGAATATTTGCACATTGTTGGACTCTTCTATAATTGAGTGATTACTCTTGCAAAATCTAGGCATTGTAATAACATCAAGTATGGGTTTGGGTCAGAGCTCTTAAACCCTGCAACAATGGCATTTGTGTTTTGTTCATGGAGATATTTACAGGGTAGCGTTGGTTTTTAAATATATTTTAGGATTTCACTAGCAAACACTAAAATGTTGCTTCAAAACATTTTCCTGCAGATAGGGTTTTGTTTTTTGTTTTTTTGCGTGATGCCACCTTATTACTTTACCTGAAACTTAAATGCCAAGTTTGTTTTCACTAATTGTAGCTTTCAGCAGTAGTTACAAGTGTGAGATGTTTAGGCTATATTCTTTCCCTAAGTGAAGATGTAGTACAGCACTTAGTGCTTTTGATCACTTAAAGGAAAACAAAAGTTCTAGTGGTATACATTAGAAATAGTTTTAAGTAATTTATCATATGCCAGATGTGTGCCTTGCTAACTGTCTGTGTAAACAATGAGTACAAGTGCATTATAGGTTAACATAATCTGATTTTAGGAAGAGTCAAGGCTTCTGGCATAAGAACATAAAATCAGTGATATTTATCAAAATATTTTTTTTCAATGATCCAAGCTAATATATGGTTCATTCCTAGTTCCAACTAGACTTTGATATCCTAGAATTACATATTAATATTGGCAAATGGCTATAAAACCAGAAAGTTAGTGCAGTTTATACATTTGATATTGTTTTATTTGAGGGTTGTTAGGTTTTTCTGAAACTGTCACCCTTAAAACAAAGCACTTCAACTTTGACCTCTGGGCTACATTTAAAGTTATAGTAAAGCATTTAGAAAATCAGTGTAAACTTTGATGCTTTCTCTGAATCTGATTTAGCAGTAGAGAAAGACATTTGCACTTCATGGAATCCAGTTGAAGCCATTGTAGAAGTAAATTTATTATTATATTGCCCAGCTATGAAAGTAAGGCCTAGTTTGATGATGCACAAACAGTTTTCCCCCAATTCAATATTTTATTTACACTGAATGCATATTGAAAATATGTACTTACTTAAAACACATTCTGCCTAGCTATAGGCAAATCGAGCTGCTTTACCAATTATGTATAAAATACATCTTTGGGCAAAAAAAAACCCCTCCAGATAACCATTTGTAAAAAGTTGGATTTTAAAAAATGGAAGTTCAAGAATTCTCTACTATGTATGATTAAGCTGTACTTCTGGCATGAGTTAAAATGCTGTAATTCTAATAAGCTTTGAATAAAATGTTGCCTGAATTTTACATCTGTATTCATGGTAATGACATAAATTCTCATTGCAGTGTAGAAATCTTTGGATCAGGGTGGATAATAATCGATGATTTTTTTAAAAAAATTGGATTTTTTAAAAATTTAAATCAGATTTTTTAAATCAAATTTATTTTAATAAAATGCTTTTGGAGTAAAAATCTAAATATAGTTTTCTATTTAAGATACATTAATAATTTAGTTTATTCAGCATGAAATGGAGCTTAGTTATGTAGCTGTATATTCTGCAATATTTACATTTTTGGTAAACTCATTCAATGAATCCAAGCTTTGCAAGCTGAGATAACATGCACTGCATTGATGCATTCACACAATTTCACAGTAACCATGAGATAAATCATAAAACAAAGTTCAGGAATATTCTTTTATCCCATTGTTTTGCAAATCTATGTACACTACAAACTGTATGATTGTTTGAAGAAAAATGCATCTGTACCAGGTTCTAAGTGTTTTAATTAAATAAAAGAATTTGAGTAGTTCTCCAACTATTGTGTTTCCCCGAAAGTAAGACCCGGTCTTATATTATTTTTGCCTCCAAAAGAGGCATTAGGTCTTATTTTTTTGGGATGTCTTATATTTTTTGTGGTGGCACCAACAGCCCTGTCCAGCAGGCGCCCGCATGGCTGCCAGCCCACTTCTGTGGCCACTCGCAGCAGGAGGCGCATGGCACATCGTGCCACTGCCATCACAACAAGGCAAGCCAGGTGGGGGAGGGGGTGGAGCTGCTCCATGCACCCCACACTCGCTTACTTCAGGGCCCCACCAGCCAGGCCATTCCTTGCTCAGCAATCTTCCCTTTCCACTCCCGAGCCAAACTGTCACGCTACGGAGGATGGGTGGGTTAGGCCTGGTCCCCCTCCACTGTTTCAGAGCCAGGGGGGAGTGACGGCGAAAAGCTTTGCTGCTGCTATGTGCCACTGGAGGGGGATGAGTTAGGGCCTGTCCCAACATGGTGGAGGGGGAACGGGTCTATCCTACCCATCCTCCGTAGCATGGTAGTCCGGCTCGGGCGGGGAGTGAAAGGGAAGGTTGCCAAGCAAGGAATGGCCTGACTGGGCGGGGGGGACTTGAAGTAAGTAGGTATGAGGTAGCTCCACCCTCTCCCCCACCTGCCTTGCCTTGTGGCAGCAGCGGTATGATACGCACTCTCCTGCCCCATTGTGGCAGTGAGGTGGGACAGTGGGCAGGGTCCCAACTAGGCTTATTTTTGGGGTAGGGCTTATATTAGGCCCACCCCAAAAAATCAGGGTAGGTCTTATTTTCGCGGTAGATCTTATTTTCAGGAAACATGGTATGTGTGATTAACCTATTAACCTAAAATCGGTTCTGATATTGCTGTTTTACTAACCTGACAGCTTATTATTCTAAATAGGAAACCTTCATTTTGTTTGCAAATAATATTAAAGATTCTATCAGCAAGAATGAGTCCTTACATTTAAAGAGCACCTGTCATTTCAGATCCATCATGGCAGCGCCTATTAGCGGGCATTCACTCACCTGCTGCCTGCCATGTCTCTCACCTTGTGTCACTGCCTCATCACCAGCCGTCCCATTAAAGTGAATGGGACTGTTGGTGAGTCAACAGCGGATCAGAGGAGGAGCTGCTGTGGGACAGAGATGACAGTTGCTCTTTAAAAATCATGATTTAAATAGAGTTGATTTAAATCCAGCCTTTTTACTAGTGATTTAAATCACAATTTAAATCGTGATTTAAATCAAATCCACCCTGCTTTGGATATATCATTCACTCTTCCTGAATTCCTGGACAAGTCCCTGTAGATTTCTTTTAACAACTATTTTGATACTTTAATATTTGATTGCTATTTTGATTGAAGAAAATAAATCCTTCAGTATAAATTTTCATTATGGAAATCTTTGGACATATCTCACTATATTCCAAATATTTTTTGTAATTCAGTATGCCAAATGTTGATACCAACAATATAAACTGGGATTCTGATGCTTTGTGTTTTATTGCTTTCCTAATGTCTAACTGCAATTGTGTTTTTTACAATAGTAACAATGTAGACATTGTTTTTTTTAATGGAACTTTTTTCCAACTTCAGTCAATTCAGAATTGGTCTATATTTGAACTAGGATTTTTATATTATGTGGATGATCCTTTTACATTTAGAGTCTGAATTGGTCCAATTTTCTAATTAAGACAAGTACAGAGTTTTCAATTACTTATAGCCATCTATTACATTCCCGTGAAGGAATGTAAAGCTATAATTGGGAAAGCTGTATTTTGAGAAACCCATTAAAGGGAAAAGAAAAGAGAGATATTAAGGGTAACTTGGAGAAGCGGTTGCACAGAAGAAGTATGAGAAAGAAACTCCTGCTTTGATTTTGTTTTTGTGTAAGATGGGACAAAGAAAAACTTGGCCAAGCTTTCTTATTGCACCCTACAACAATGATGAATAATGAGGTAGCATTCCTGGAATTTCAATAGTATCTCCTTTTTTACTTGGTCTACCTTAAGGGGTTGACAAATTTCAGAGGAAAACAAACAGTAATTACTGTTGCAGTGATTCAGCTGAGGCGGAGGAGAAACATTTAAACTGGAACCAATGGGGTATCTGATCTGAGAAACATATTTCTGACATTTGTAACAGATGCTGAGATGATGGAGGTGCAGTCATGACCTTTCCTAGCAGCAGTAGCTGGTAATAAGATGACCTTCCCTGTTTTGTTGTGCTAATTTCATACTTGCAGTGGGAAAGAAAACCTTTTTGCTTTATATATTAAAAGATAGGAAATGAACATTTTTAAAAGCTACTTCTGGGTAGCTGCACTTCTAGTCACCTGGCTAGAAACTAACATCTGGCAAAAATGCTTTTATATGCCTTTTTTTTCAAACAATTTACTGGAATGTGATACATAGTAGAAAAAAAATGTTTTTCTATGACCTAAGAGAGGGGTCCCCTGGACCGGCACCAGGCCGCGCCATGCCACAAACCGGTCCACGCAAACAAGCAAAACCCCATCCGTGGGATGCAGGCAGTACATGAAACCACAGCCTCTCTGGTCCGTGGAAAAATCTCTCTCCATGGAATCGGTCCCTGGTGCCCAAAAGGTTGGGGACCTCTGATCTAAGAGATGGCCGCTAACAACCAACTTAGCAATTTGCTTTCCCCCCAGTTGGTAGATCACCATCACACTTAACAAAAGAAGGGTGACCTGAACTGTCACCATGTTTTTAGGATGGGAGACAGAGCACACAAGGAAGAATCCTGTCAGATATAACAAGTGTCTCTGATCGAAGGAAGAGAAACACTGCTTCTGAAAGAGAAAAGGTAGTGATTTTGACTTAAGCTCAACCTTTCTCAACTTTCTGTCTTCCACGTGTGATGAGACCACAACTTCCAGCTTTCTCAGCAGCAGCAGCATAGCTGGAGGGCGCCGGGCTGGAGAAGGCTTTGTCCCGGGCAGGCTATTGTGACGACTTAACGCTCCATCTTGTCATGCTCGAAATACAGCAGGAAAGCCAGAGCAGCACAAAGCGCACCAAAGTGATCCTCTGAGCTCCACAAGTCGGCCAATAGACGAAGCTTCCCCCATTCCCCCCCGGCCGCCCGGCTCCGAAGCATTTTAACGGAAGAAAGGGGGAGATGTTACAGCCTCGTGGGTGGAGACAGCCAAGCCGGGTGCAAGCTTCTTCCTGTTCAGCCTCGTTTCCTTTAGCGAGGAAGGGCTAAACTCGCCCTTTGCCTGGCTGGCGGGGATGTCATTTCGTGTGACCGGCAGGTGGATGATACCTGTTGCACAGGTGCGAAACAATGAAAGGCAAGACGCCGGACCAGGAGCCGGTTGCATCTCTCCCTGGCCCTTCTCCGCTGCCCAAGCTGCTCTCCGCCCTTTTCTATGGGACCTGCTCTTTCTTGATCGTTCTGGTAAACAAGACAGTGCTGACAGTTTACAGGTGAGATCAGAGGAAGAAGGTGCTGCGCGAACCTGCTGGGCAGCGGTCGGTCGGTCGGCCGGCCTTCAAATCAGCCCACTGTCAACTGGTCAAAGCTACGCCTTCTTCTCTCTTCGTCCCCTTCTCTGCGGAGTGGGGGGGGAGGGCCTTCCCGCACTGTGACCTCTGGCAACGCGATCGCGATCGGAATGGCGCGCCGTCTTCTTTTCCCGCCTTCAGCCGGGTTCCCGCTTCTTCTCTTATTGAAGCGTCTTGGGCTAATCCTTCTGCTTCCTCGTTCTCTGGAGGGCTTTTATGCCCAGCCCCAAAGAGAAATGTACTTTCTTTAGCTCGATAGGATTGTCTCCAGTTCTTCCTAAACTTACCGGTCCATTTTTTAAAAGGTGGTTTTGATTGGCAGCCCGGGAAATACCAGCTGTAGTCTCACAGATTCTGGTTCCGAAGTCCCGATTCCAAAGTTTCTTGCTCAACTTATAATACAGTTGAAGCAGATAGAGAAGAGAATTGGACACTGGGAATGCGTTCTTCAATTACGGTTGTTTAGCCCAAGGCTTGACTGCCCAGATCTGAGCTACAATATTTAGCTGATGGCAGTGAATACTGTAGATAGGTTTACAATAAATGGATTCTTTCTTGCCATCTAGTGGCTGCCTGGAATTTGTAACCTGTGTATCCCTTACCAACAGTAATGGCTTTTGTGATTCAAACAAATGTTTTTTATTTATTTTTACAATTATTTTATTAGATCAATAAATTAAACATTAATCCATTTTATTACCAGTCTACAATATTATTATTGTAACCCAGAGGCAAGATCTTTCCCAGGAAATTCCCATTGCTTTAATTCCGGTGGGATAGCTGAGATCTCAGATGCAGGCCCAGAGTCCTGTGATAAGCCAGGAGGAGGAAAGTAATTTGTGTTGTATATTTGAAAATTAATTATAATTATAAAGATGAGAATTTGTACACCGAGGCTATAGCAGCTGAATGACAGTGGACGAATAAAAATATCTCGATGTACAAACAAAGCAGCTTTTCTCCAAGCAAAAGAAGCATTTTGGCTAGCAGAGAGAAATCTTTGCAGCCATAATTTTGCAGGCTGATATGGGTGCATCACACCAAACTATGTGCATGGGCTGCCGGCTTCAGAAATACTTCTAACTTTTTGTGGCCATCTAGCAGTTAATCTGGTATCCAGATCTTGTGTCCAGATCTTCTATTTTGGTAGCTTACCACAACTCATGAATTTGCTGTAATTGTTGACAGTTGTAATTCATGATTTATGGCTTACCGGTATGATATGTGAACATGGCTATTTTGTATGAATACATTTCAAATACGTTGACCCCCTCCCCAAAATTTACCATCCACATTAAGAGTCTAAACCTTGCACCTGCAGCAAGGATTCAGCAAAAAACTGATAATAACTAGCCCAGGTGAATAAGGACCTCAGGTTTGGCAGCAGAGATGAGTGGATAGCAGGACTCCATATGGACAAAGATCAAGTCCCTTACAAGCCAGGCCATATTTCCAGACAAGTCAGGATCCTATACAAGATTATATATTGTGCTGTGGGAGGGCTCGTGAAGCCAGTACCGTTGGATAAGCAATGTGATATTAACTCTAGCCCCAGCAGATGGAGCCTGCAGGCTTTTAATGAAACAGATTGGCATAAGGAAATAAGTGTATCAAATGGCACATGCATAGAATAGAGAAGAGTAGCTTCTTTGCAGAAGAAGATTCCTAGAATTGATAAGCAGAAAACATTCATGTTATTGGGTTTCTGTCATGATTGTTAGGGAACACTTGCCACTTTATAGCCTGATGCTTCACTGCAGGCTTCTTATTTCTGACATTGTCCTGGCTGTTTTTATTATATGGTCTTTTATACCCTTGATATCCATAGCTTTTTTTAAATACACTCTTTATTATTCTGTTACTCTATTACAGATGTGTCCAATTCTGGCAACTTTAAGACCTGTGGACTTCAGCTCTCAGAATTCTCCAGTCCACAAGTCTTAAAGTTGCCAAGGTTGGATACCCCTGCTCTATTATTTTGTGTAATTGGAAATATAGGCTTAATTTTCTTCCAAAATACACATTGTAGATTGCAGTTGCATACAAATAATCCATACATGACTGTATTGCATTGGATAGCCAATATTTCTTTGTTTAAACAAGTTGCAGAGTTTTAACTATTTAAATTTTGATAGCTTCTGATTCGTGTATGTTTGCATATATATGACCTTTCTTTCTAAACTGAAATATACAATAGAATCACACACAAATACACACAAAATATGTGCATGCATAAATAAGTGTCACTTTTATTTTCTTTCTAGATTCCCATCTCCAATGTTTCTTGGAGTAGGACAGGTATGTTCATAGATAAAAGAGATTAAATGGTAAATATTCCAATTTACAAATATAGGTTTTCCAGTGGTTGAAATATGAAATGCAGATGATTTTCTTCCTCTTGAGAGAATTCTCTTCACTAAAGCCCATCTCAAGAGTTTTTATAAAGTAAGATTATAACAGGGATGCCATGTTCTGGTGATGAAACTATATTAGTGTTTTGGAATCTCAGAGACACAGATAGGCATCATGATACAAAGTGAGCAGGGTCAAGATTTTTCTTGAGAGAGGGGATTTTTCTTTATTTTTGTAAACAATGCTACTTTAGGATTAACATTTTTAAGCATGCTCTAATTTTTTGGAAATCTTCACAGTTGAAGGAGAGCACAAAAATGTATGAAAACATCCATGCAGATCAAACTGGAGTTCTGTGTCCATTGGTATAGTTTACAAATCTGTGAGGTTATTAAAAACAAATCAAACAGGTCTTCCTCAAAACAGCAGTATCTATAGTCCACCCCAGCTGCATATGGAAATTATATTTTGCTGCTGTATGTGATTTTCTCTCCCTTTTAGATGGTAACCACTATTCTCATCTTATATGTGTCAAAATTAAATAAAATCATTCATTTTCCTGATCTTGACAAAAGCATCCCTAAAAAGGTAAGAATGACTTAACTCCTTGCATGGGTTTTAATATTACCATGGAAAAAAAATGTTCCTAAATTCTGTTGGCGCATACAAGTGATCCAGATCCAATTAACAGAAGTTTGTGGCACCCTTTGTGCCCCTTAAAATGTCCCAATGGGAGGGAAAAAAAATTAAGGGACAGGCCCAATCAATGGGTTAAAGCCCCACCACCTCTTTTAAACATGCATCATAAACATTGCACACATTTTATGGTGAAGGGAAAACTCCAGCATGTTTGGAAGTAACCCTCATCACCAAGGATTAAGTATTTGCAGGCAGAATGTAAGAATTTAAAGTCTGAGAATGGAATGGGGGCCCTTTTGGAGTGAGAGGAAAAGGAAGATGGAGAAATGAACATATAAGCTGAGACAAAGCAAAGGGTGGAAGAAACAGCTGTGGGCCTTCTTTGTTCATGTCTGCCAAATTTCCCTGACCCTTCAAAGGGGCCTGGCCTTGAAACAGCTCCCTTTCTTGGCTCAGAACAAGGCTTTTCCCTACAAAAGGGATGCCAGCTGGACAGCAAGGGAGCCAGCTTTTGCCAAGGGAAAAGACTGCCCACACTTTCTCAGCCTAGGCTGCCATCCCAAACTTGCCTGCCAGGTGGGAGAGACCACAAGACATGCATTCCTACTGCAAGATCTCTTCCTTTGTTGAAAGTTCATGTAATTATTTAACCGACTGAAGCTTCAAAGGAGACAGCATTTGTTGTATGTAAAGTTTTGTCCTTGAAAGCTTAAAAGGGCAAGTGTGAATCGCTCAATCTTCCTACTCCTTGGTTGATCCAATATTTGCTTTTAGGCACTTGCAAATTCTCTTCATTAAGGAGTCATTGCCACTCATTTTACCCTTACAGGGAATTTGCATGGTAGAATTGCTAGATTCTTTCCATGCATGATTATTATTGTTTTCCATCATGTCCTTTTTAAAATAAACCCAGTAACATACAAATCAGTTGTTAACACTTACTGTATGCATTTATGTGAATTGCACAATGATCATTGTTTCTGAATAAAGATCAAACCCATAAAATATCGCAGATTGTGGGGCTTGGGTTAAAGTAGGGTCTCCAGATAAATTGGTTGAAAAAAACCCCTCTGCTAATCTAATATTCCAGCTCTTGGGGTTTTGATTCTAAATCAATCCTACACAACCAAGATGTTTATGACCATGCAATTATTAGAAAACTCCATTGTTCTCAGTAGGTGGCAGCACTTAGCTAAACTTGGTTTATCTCAAGTAACAATACAGGACTTGTTAGTGCTGGAATGAGGATCACCAGGAGATCACCAGGCTATTGACAAAACTGGGAATTGGGAAAAATAAACTGGATGAAGGAAGTAGAAAACAATTTCCATACTGTTGCCAAGTAACCATCATGGCTATAGCCATATAGTCACCAGAAATCTAAACAGGTTTTATATTTATTAATCCCAAGTGAATACAAAGAGATGTACTTCTAACTGATAATCTTCATCGGCACATATGGTAGTAAATGCTTAGAGAAAAATATTATGTATGTTCATTCATTGTCATTATGATGGGTCCAATATTTTTGTTTTGTAAGTTAAATATAATTGTATTGATATAAGCAGGAGTAAGGTCATGCAAAGAATCAGATACTAACAAGTGATGTTCCTTTATATGGCCTGCTAATTTGTCTGTTTCTATGGGTGTTATGAATTATATGGTTTATGAATTGATTTGAACAGATTTCTTCCAAAGTGGAGTGAAATGGCATAATCTGAATGGTGCATTTGTTTTATTACAGTTGTTTCCACTTCCTCTGATTTATATTGGAAATCATATAAGTGGATTATCAAGCATAGGCAAGCTAAGGTATAGTAATGTCCAGGTAGTAAAGTCAAACTGATAATTTCTTTGTATTTAAACCTTTGTAAATTTCAGTCGTTTTTCCAAGACTGTTAAAAATGGACTATATTTTTGCACAAAAGCATCCTCATCTTGCCAAAGCATTGCTTTGGATATTCCAGTGTATAAAATCAGTTTATAAAGTAAGTGTTGGGCTTAGGAACAAAATACCTGTAAAGAAACTTTACAACTAGCCATTCTATTTTCTATCCTTGTGTTTTGACATTTTCTTTCTCCCCTTTTGGTGATTGATATGTTCTTCAGCTTTGACTGCTGAAAATGGATGTTGAAAATGGATGTAGATTAGACAGTGGGCCATTCATTGTGTGAAAAATTGGGTGGGGTAGTTAGAATGCGTTGTTTGGGGAATCTGCTGCCTGAATAGATAATTGCATGTCATGTAACCGTTTTATTTGAGATGGTACTCCAGTCTCATCCAATTGCTTAACAGATATGTAGGTGAATCACAAATCTCCATCAGTACATCTAGGAAGCATATCTAAAGCAGTGCTCTTTGGTATAGCTCAGTAACATGGCATTTAGGATTCTAACACATAACGCTACCCTCATATTTGCTGATCTCACACACTTATGCCAGTTATTTGTTTGATGTCTGCATCATTGCATGCAGCTGTGTGGAGATATCTGGAAAGGTTGCTAGCCTTTGTCTTGGGCATGCACTGGTCATTTCACACTCTTCTGAAAGCAGCACACTAGTGTACTCATGTGTGATTATTTTGGGTTTTTCATAACTAGGAATAAGTATTTAGAATTTGCACTTGACTTAGACACCCTGTGAATTTCTAATTATCTATTAATACAATACAGCAATATTGGGACATTCTTCTGTATTAATATGGAAAGGGTTATGCAGCTCAACATTAATGATCGTGTAGGAGTCCTTCCCAGCTTGGGAGCTTCCAGTCCAGGTTAGAGAAGACTATTTATTAGTTTCTGACCTGGCTCACCAAAATCTTTTCCATAGTTGCCTTGGTTCTCAGCATTTAGATAGCTATTCATGGAAAATACCATATCACTGACTACTTGAGAACTAATTTTAACTCAATTAAAAGGAAATTACTGGAAACAAATTGTATGAGACAGATGCCAAATTTTTTTTAAATTATTCTTACTTCCAACTATTCTACTGTCTAAGCATTCTTTGGAGTCAGACTGACATTTGGCTTTGCAACTGAGAATTTATTTAGGGGCATTCTTAATGTCAGTTGAAGCTGAGGATGAAAGTAGTGAAGATACATAATGAGTCATGAAGGAGTTTGCCACTGACACAAACTAGTCTCTCTCTCTCTCTCTCTCTCTCTCTCTCTCTCTCTCTCTCTCTCTCTCTCTCTCTCTCTCTCTCTCTCTCTCTCTCTCTCTCTCTCTCTCTCTCTCTCTCTCTCTCTCTCTCTCTCTCTCTAAATACAGCTTGCCAATGTTTACAGTCCTGAGGAAGTTTACCATTCCTCTTACATTACTGCTGGAAATTATTATTCTTGGGTAAGTATTTGCCTCTCATTTCTGAAATACCACAATGGTTTATTGGGTCACATAATGATCCAGTGTATTTTGTTGAGTAATAAGAATTAGAAGAGACAATTTGAACTGCTTAAAATTATTTGGGCACATAATTTCCTGTCTATGAATAATAGAAATCTGGAGCCAAACATTTGGTTCAAGGCAGCTCTTCTCCTTCATGCCTTTCTTCCTAACTCCCTGTAGTGTGATATTTTGATCAAGCCCAATCTTTCTCTTGGCTCTTCCTTTTGGCTTTTCATCTAAGTCACCCTTTTCCTTATTTCTGTTTGGCTACCTTCATTGTTTCCTTCTCTTTAGCTACTTTGTCTCTTTCCTATCCTCACTCTACCAGTTCTGGCTTGCAAAATTCAGATGACCCCTAGAGGGCAGCAAAGAGCTTCCTGTTATGTCTTTGCTACCATCTACTGCAGTGCTTATTTATATTTCTGAAGGGAATATCTAGTAAACCTGCCCCTGCTCCTCTTCCTTCTTCTGAATACAAAATCTTTGTTGTCTTCTTCTTCTGTCTTTTTCTTCGTGCTGCATTTTAGAAACTCCAGTACTTTCCCTGTAACTATGTAGTTATTCTGTTCTCAAAAATATTAAAAACAGCTTATCCTCCCAAGAATATACAGAGATTACTATGCTGTATTATCTATTTAGTGCCTGCTGCCCCTGGGTAACTGTTTGATTCAATCCCTGGGAATCAGTTCTATTGAACTCAGTGTTTTTCCCTTCTTAGAATTTGACGGCATTTGTGGAGTAAGTTGTTCCACATTACTGCTTAATTTCTAGAAAGGTATAAAAGTGAATACTAATTTTGACTGACCAATTAGTTAGTGAATGAGGCTGGATTTATAGGCAGCTGTTGGATTTATAGGAAGTTATTGTATATCAGATTGGGCCCTCTAGTTCTGTACTGTCTAGTCCAGGCATATCAAACTCGCGACGTCACATGACGTCGTGCGATGTATCGCGACTTTTTTCCTATTGCCAGCAATGGGATGGGCACGGTTTTGGTGTGACGCATCCAGACCGCGGGCCGGCAGTTTGACATGCCTGGTCTAGTCCTTTATTGAGAATTCTTTTTTCTTTTTCTTTTTTTGGAACAAAGAATTTTCCCAACTCTTTCTGTATATACCAAGAATTGTATTTGGACCTTCTACATGTAGAGACTCTTTCAAATTCTTTGGGATGAAAAGGCGATTTTGTTCTCCTATGGATCAAGTGAAACAAAGAAGGCTCACTCATTCTAGAATCTCAATGTCTTAATTCTTGAATATGCATTTAGAGAGATATCATTTATTTTTACAGGAAACGCTTTCCCCTGAGCATTATAATCAGTGTGTTTGCAATCATTTTGGGTGCCTTAATAGCAGCAGGGTAAGATTTTAAAGTTTCCTTTAGAACTCCGTATTTGTTTCTTAACATCAGCGAAAAATAATATTCCTTTGTAGGTCAGTGTTTGGATGAATGAGTAGATACTGTAAAATATTTGTACACTGCAGTTTTCTGTAGCAGCCTTCCCCAACCTAGTGCCCTAAAAATAGTTGGTGTTTCAACTCCCAGAGTTCCCAGCTAGCTTGGTCAATTAGCTGGAAGTTCTGGGAGATGTAATCATAGCACTTTCAGAGAACTATGAAATGGGTAAAGGTGGTCTAGATCAGAAGTCCCCAACGTTTTGGGCACCAGGGACCGGTTTCGTGAAGAGAGATTTTCCACAGACCAGAGGGGCCGTGGTTTCATGTACTGCCTGCATCCTGTGCATAGGGCTTTGCTTGTTTGTGTGGACCAATTTCTGGCATGCCGCAGACTGGTGCCGGTCCACGGATCAGGGGTTGGGGACCCCTGGTCTAGATGAACAATGACAATGGTCTGGAAATCATCTGCAGATGATGTTGACTGTGCTGCAGAACACAAAAATTAACATGCCTTTGACATTTCTTAAACAAAGATGATCCAAAATAAATTGATGTGACTTGTGTACAGCAGTTCAAAATTTGGAAGTCAACTGGGGAAATTATTCTAGTGCATCACAGAAGGAGAAGGATGGAGTCACTAATTGTAATCACAATGGCCTGAGTCCACAGTTAATTATACTGAAGGTCTCACAATAAATCATGCTTTATATTGCGTGATAAAAATGTCCTGGTAGATTGGGGAGTACTAATAGCAGAGGCCTGGGAGAACTGCAGCTCCTAGTAATTTCCTGCCAAATGGAACAAGTATATTGTCAAAGCAATTGAATATGAAACATAGCCCTGGTGGCACAGTGGTTAAAGTGCTGTATTGCAGGCAAACTGCCCACAGCCTGGAGTTCAATGGGGCTCAAGGTTGATTTAGCTTTCCATCCTTTAAGATTGGTAAAATGAGGGCCCAGATTTTTAGGGTCAATATGGAAATAATGCTTACATTGTAAACCATCCAGAGAATGCTATAAAGCACTATGGGACAGTATATAAGCCTAAATGCTATTGCTATTGTTATATATTATAAAGGATATAATATTATTTATTGATGTTCATGTGTATGCTTGTGCTCATATAGTAAGATTCTATAGAAATTCCTTCTCTATTAGGTTGTCCTATGTCTTATCCCACTGTAATTTCAACATCTCCATCAAATATTTTACTGTTGGTGTAATTGTTTTCTGATTAAACTCTCACACACTAAATATACTTTAAATGGCAAACCAACTTATACATAATATATTTTATAAAATGGCCACATGACTTTTATGTAAACTTTGAATTTTCTCAGTATGTTTACTTTATTAAACAAACAAGACTAGACTGTTTTTTTTACCCCAGAGTTCTTACAAATTTATCTCTTGTTTCTAATATGGATACAACTTGGAGAGTAGACAGAATATGTCCACTGCAAAGAAAGCTATTGTTTAAATTTATGCTATTTAAATTAGTCTCTCTTTCCATATTTTATTTTCCAGATCAGATTTAGCTTTCAGCTTGGAAGGCTATGTTTCTGTTTTGCTCAATGATATCTTCACGGCAGCAAATGGTGTTTATACTAAACAAAAAATTGACCCTCAGGTAACTATGCAGAGAATTATGTGTTCTTCTTTGCATTTTTTAAACATGTGGGTTTAACATGTGGAAAAATAGATTTGGAAGTCACCTTAAAGTTTAGATGTTGTATAGTTTTCTTAATACTCTTTAAAAGCCTGATATAGTGGAATACCTCTTTTTTTTTAAAAAAAAAAGTATTTGTAGACCACTTTTTATAACTGTCTTTTCACAAGGTCATAAATATTTTACTGTAATATCTTTGTGAAAGTTTCAACCACTTTTATATCTTAAATACTGCTATTCTGTCAACTTAAAAAAATGTTCTGTAGCTGATTGCTGTGGCTGATTCATGTAAGCAAGGAATATGTAAGCTATGATCTCAGGGCTTTAAAAAGCTGACAAATTGACATTTTAAAGGGAAAATCAGTAAATCTGGGCAAGTATTTGATTCTTGAAATTATACTTAATTAATGCTCCAACACTGGAAGTTTTTAAGAAGAGACTGGACAGCCATCTGTCCGAAATGGTGTAGGGTTTCCTGCCTGAGCAGGGGGTTGGACTCGATGACCTCCAAGGTCCCTTCCAACTTTTTTATTATTATTATTATTATTATTATTATTATTATTATTATTATTATTATTATTATTATTATTATTATTATTAATGTAATTTGAACTGAATTTGAATGCAAATTAAACTAAGTTTTGTCCTGCCTGAGCCAACTTCCAGAATGCGATTGCCAATCAAGGATTCAAGTTTCATAATTGGTTTGAAAAAGGGTTTTCAATCCTGGTTTAAACCAATTTCTATTCTAGACTCTGATAGTTGTACCTCATACTTCTAATCATACATATTGCTTCCACCAGACTAGACATTTATATGGAAAGATCCATGCTATTGGCTCTTTGTTCTGTTTTAGTTAAGGATAATTAGTTCAGTCATTATCATCTTATTATTCCGCCTAACATTTTTCCACATAGAATCTTATTTGATAAACAGTTAATATTATCCAGGCTTACATGCCCTTCAAACAGAATCTTCACGATTCATTTAATTTACTGGGTTCTATATACGTTACCGTAGATATCTCAGTGCTGAATCCTTCAGGAACTCTTAAGTAATTATCTATTAGATTTTTTTAACATATGTATTTGTTTATACAGGAGCTGGGAAGATATGGAGTAATTTTTTATAATGCCTGCTTTATGATAATTCCTACAGTTCTCATCAGTTTTTTCACTGGAGATTTCCAGCAGGTAAATAGAGCTTAGGAACCAATCGAGTGGTCCTAAATTTATATTTGTGGAATGATAGGTGTTTGGGATCCTTTTGCATATGAAGTAAAAATGTAGGATTTTGTCCTCTAAGAGGCGATTGATTTTATAACATTATAAGTAGTGGTTTAGTATAAGATATGAAATCTCATTTTGGCGAGTTAGGAATAGAACAGAAGATTAAGGGGAAATATTAATCTTCCATAAACTTTATCCATCCATCCTTTCAAATTATCTTGGCTGATATTTGGTGCTGACTGAGAAGAACTATATTTCTCTCGGAACCTTCATTCCAATTTTTTTTTCTTCTATTCATTTGTGTCTGATAGTCAGCGATTGCCTGGACGCATATCCCTGCATTGTCCTTGGTAAGGTTTTTCTGAAGTGGTATGCCATTGCTTCTCCCTGAGGCTGATAGAAAGTGACTGGTGCAAGGTGGAACTAGAACTCACAATCTCCTGGTTTCTAGCCTGATACCTTAACACTACAGGAAACTGGCTCATTCAATAATTACATGGCTACTATTAAATGGCTACCAACTGTTTGGGAGTGGGAGGAAGGAACTGCATAAGAGCTCTTGGAGGGAAGATTCTTTTTCTTAGCTAAACTAACATCTTTGGACATTACCTAAACCAGGGGTCTTCAAACTTGGCCCTTTTATGACTTGTGGACTTCAACTCCCAGAATTCCTCAGCCAGCATTTCTGACTGAGGAATTCTGGGAGTTGAAGTCCACAAGTCATAAAAGGGCCAAGTTTGAAGACCCCTGACCTAAACCCTCCAATCCCATGTGCTCTTAATGGCTACTTGTGAAGTCTGTGGGAATCTGCAGGCATGCATCTTGGCAATTCAGAGAGAGAGAGAGAGAGAGAGAGAGAGAGAGAGAGAGAGAGAGAGAGAGAGAGAGAGAGAAAATCAATAATTAGTGATTTACAAGTAAAAGGAAATCTGTAACATGAAGATGTGCCGCCTGTTGGAAGTCAGCAGAACAACACTTGGTGTGGTTTCTGAAGATCAAGCAGATTTTTTTTCCTCAGATTCAATTATTTTTGTGAATTGGATTTTTCAACAAATAATTGGTAATTTTTCTCTCTCTAAATATATCAAAAATCTTATCTTTTTTATTTTTATAGGCCACGGATTTCCAGCAGTGGACAAACATTTTATTTATCTTTCAGTTTCTTCTTTCTTGTGTGTTGGGGTAAGAGGATCTTGGACAAATAATCAAGTAATGACTGGCATGAGTTTGCATCTTGGAAATCCTTCTGCATAATTAGCAGAGTAAGATAAGCTAAAAAGAGAAATATCTCAATGATTCATGCTCTGTTCTCATAGTATAGCTTTTGTATCCTGCTGCACAACATTTTAAGAACTATCTCTTTTTATTAAAGAGCAAAAATAATTTCCACATGCTCTCTGATTCTTTTTCAGTGTAGTTTGCTTTGGGACATTTTTATTGGCCACATCAATGAAATTAGAACAGGAATCCCTTGATAGTGTAGCACAGGGGTCTTCAAACTTGGCCCTTTTATGACTTGTGGACTTCAACTCCCAGAATTTTTCAGCCAGGCACGTTGGCTGAGAAATTCTGGGGGTTGAAGTTCACAAGTCATAAAAAGGCCAAGTTTGAAGACCCCTGGTGTAGCACATTTTAAATCCTGCAAATCAGGTGATAGTTTCCAGAGGATACTTGGTGCCGTATAAAAATGATGGAGTCAGTAGAAGCTCAGTTTTAGTTTGCCTAATTTTGTATCAGATCTTCAAATGCAGCAGGTTTTAGATTATGTTTAGGCTATTTTAAATACTGAAACGCAACATAAAATAGGGTAGTGAATGTC